ATTTCTTTTTTGACTATGAAAGCAACTCCATTTTACCTCACCTTTTTGTCTCCAGAATATCATATGATCATCTGACTCGAAATGCCCCATGCCAGTCCATCTCATCTCTCCAATGCTTAGTATGCCAATATTTATGCGTTCCATTTCTTTCTTAACAATTTCTAATGTTACCAATTAAATTATTAAAAAGCAGCAGGTGGAAGCTTCAATGAATATTAGAATGCATCAGAAAAAACTTTATAGACACATAATAAAACTAGTAAAATAAAGTTGTAGCATCTAGATGGCAGTTATATGCACATTCACTATAAAATATTTCCAAGTTTTCTGCGTGTTGTTGATTAAACAGTTTTCCAAAATGTGTGTTGAAATCCTAATCTTATAATTGTGACCCCTGTAATCTAGTGGTAATGCGTTGTTCTGCCAATCCAAAAGCAAGCAGTTCAAATCCACCAGCTGCTCTGCTGAAGAAAGATGGGTAGTCTCCTCTTGCACGATTTACAGCCTCTGAAAACCTACTGGAGGGCCAGCTATGAGTTTGTTTTGACTTGATGGTACATAACAACATTTGGAAATATGTTCATGAAATCAAATCAGAGTGGAATGAATCTTAAACCCATTATCTTCTAAGTTATACAAATAATATAATGGACATAGAGGTACACAAAGGGAGAAAAGACAAATTACAAGTGAAGACTAGCCTATAACAAAGGGATTTTTTCTTTCTATTTTTTTTTTTTGTGTGTGTACCAACTGGCACAAGAGGCGATTGCTCTCCTTCTCCTGTAAAGCATCTGGTGGATTCGAACTGCACGCCTTCAGGACTGCAGCACAGCTTCTTGCCACTCGGGCACTAGAGCTCCCTTAACAAAGGAATTTTAAGGCTGACAGGCTGATAAAAGATATCGAGAGGGGCTTGCTAAGGAATCAAATTAGTCTTGATTGGGACTTTTAGCTTCCAGACCTCTGAGAAAACAAACTTCTGTTCTTTAAAACAACCCATGTTTGGTATTTCTGATGGCCGCAATAGATAACTAAGATACTGAATGTCCAAAGCATTCCATAAAGTGTTGGGGCAAGAACTATTTCCAATGAGTGTCAGAAACTGCATAGGCTCACTTTATGTGCGTGAAGCTGCACAGAATAACAAATTGCAGGCAATTCACATTCCCTCGTTCAGTTACCTTGAAGCAGGTACTCCATCATGTTGATGGTGCCCCCAGTGACAGGCATCATGGTGACTGGAGGGGCCTCCATAGTGTCTGTCTGATTGAGCTGGAGATAATAGAAATGGATTCAGAGCTCCCAATCAGACAAGGGACGGAATATACCTGGAAAAGAGTTAGACATGTTAAACATCAGAGAGGTGGGGAGGGCTTGGTTGGACATCAAAAGGTTTCAGTCATTCTTTTTTTTTTTTTTTTTAGTAACTGCTAAACGGCCAAGACTACTTCAGTAATTGAAGACATAGAAATATACAAACGAAAAACATGAAGTCGTAACATTTTGCTCAAATGTCAACTTATCAATTCTTCAAAAGTTAGCTGCACAATTTTGAAAGTCATTCAACTTCTCATTTTAGGAAGTTCATTTTTTACAAGGGGACTACCTAACAACAACCAAAAAAAGAAAACCAAAGTGAAACAAAAAATAAAGTTGGACCATCATAGCTAATTCCCAATTCTTTTTGGTTCAAGCGACGTAAGTGGAACTGCAAAGTGACTTAGAAGTCCTTGTCTTTATTTCACTTTCAGCAGTGAAAGGGACATCCAGCATGTACGTGGCAAAGCCTGGATTAGACTAGGCCTTGTCTCTCTGAACGATAAAATCACCTTTTAAAAGAGAAACCAGTGGAATAGGAAAACGTTTTAAGACTATGGTTTCGATATTTCTAAACTGGCATCCAACTTACGTAGACACTTCCACTAAGAACGGGATTCTGCAAGGACTTTTTGTAAACCTGTAAGTTATCAGTGTCTCTAAAATTTAGCTTCACTTAGACCCCAATACTAAAACTAAGCAAGTTCTGTAAGCTCACAGATAGGAAGAAACTACCTATCGTCTCCTTTTCCCACTTCCAGCGGTTCAGCAAACGCCGCGCGACAGCACCACTCCGCGGGGACGGGTGCCGAGAAGTCACAAAATAGTTGTCTCTGCGGCCAGGCACGCCTATGGACATGCGCAAACGCTGTGCGGCTGCGGGAAGATGGCGGGCTTCCTACGCGCATGCGACGAGGGCTGGCAGCGACCTTGGCGTCATAGTAGGTCCTCTAGGAAATCATTTACTTTTCCAAGTTCGGCGGGCTGAAGATGTTTTCGTATCTTTAGGAACTAATAGGACTGAATAAAGACTACTATGCCAGAACTTTTTTTAAAAAAATTTTTTTTTTTTTTTAATTTTTGTGTGAGTGTACCGTCAAATCAGATCTGACTGGTACAGGAGGAGATTGTCCCTCCTTCCCCGGCAGAGTATCTGGTGGATTTGAACCATGCGCCTTTGGGATTGTAGTTGCAGTTCCTTGCCACTAGGCCACCAGAGTTCCCCTTATGCCAGAACTTTGTACTCAGAGCAAGTAGCGCCTTGTGGGGAGAAAGTAGCAGAGTTATAGAAAGAAAGGGGGAAAGTTATAAAACAAAGAAAAGGGAAGAAGTGTGATGTTCTGCATAACTAATGCGCTCAATAATACGCTTGGTTCACTTTACAGAGTATCTGTCCCATTCCTGTCGAGTCGGTAACGACTCCAAGTTGACCTTCCAGTGAGTCTTCCAAAACGGAATCTATCTGGCGATCTGTTTTCTTGGCTGTGGCTGGTGGATTTCATCCACGAAGAAATGCGCACAGCTCTAGGGACTACGCTTCCATAGCCCCTCTTTACAGTGTATCTCAATTTAAAAGTTTAGGAAGGTAAGTAACTTTTAAAAGTATTTTTTTTAAACACTGCTTATATGTGAACCACATTAAGTGCGAACAGGCCTGGAACTGTTGTTAGGGACCCTTGAATCGACTATGACACATAATAACCCTTGGCCATATGCTGCACCATCCGCAAGAACTCTGTCATGCTGAAGGCACGCCCCATGTGTCAATCCATATTATTCAAATTTCCCAACAAGACATCTCTGGAAGATTGGTTCTTCCTGAGAACATGCCCAAAGTGAGAAGAAGCTCCATCATCCTTGCCTCTCCAGAGCACTTTGACTGCACTTCCTTCAAGATAGATTTGTTATTTTGGCACTCAATAACTTTCACCAACACCACAACTTTTGTTGTTGTGTGCCGTCGAGTCGACTGCGACTCATAGTGACCCTACTATGTACAACAGCCCTAAACTCTGCCCTATCCTGTGCCAGTCTCACGGTCTCAGACACATCTGCCCTCATTACCCCAGTCACTGAATCAATCCATCTCATCGAGGGTCTTCCTCTTCTGCACTGCCCCTCCACCCTCCCAAGCACGACGTCCCTCTCCAAGGACCGGTCCCTCCTTACAGCATGTCCAATTTCAGACAAAGCTTCAGAATCCTTACCTCCAAGGAGCAGCCTGGTTTCACCCTCTCCGGATGAACCTGTTTGTTCTCTTGGCAGTCCATGGTATATTCAATACTCTTTTCCAACACCGCAGCTCAAAGGCATTAATTCTCCTTCTGTCATCCCTAGTCATTGTCAAGTTCTCTGATGAATAATAGCAAGTGATTGCAAAGACCATGGCCTGTATCAGGTGAACCTTAGTCTCCAGACTGACATCGTTGCTCTTCAGTATTTTGGAGAGATCTCTGACAGCAGACTTTCCCAATGCAATAAGTTTTTTAACTTCCTGGCTGCTGGTGCCAAGAGTGTTGATTGTGGAGCCAAGCAAACTAAAGCTGTTAATAATCTGTGTCTCTTCATCATCTGTCATGATGCAGCCAATCAGCCCAGTGGTGAGAATCTTTGGGGTTTTATTTTTGTTTGTTTTGAGGGTTTTTTAAAATTTTTTAAATAATTTTTTGGTCTTTTTTTAATTAGTTTTAATGAACATTTACAGAGATTTTTGGGTTTTCATTGATTCATTGTTGCACCGCTTTCTCCACCCTCCTCCCCAGTCCGTTCCTCCCTCCCCTCCCATGTCTGTTTTAATTGTCCAATTGCCACAGTGCCCGCCAAAGCCAGTTCTGATCAATCTCCCTTGTCAGTGTGTCCCTTGCCATTCCCTATC